AAAATGGCTCACCATTCAGGGTCACTGGGGTTATCTACAGACTAATATTATCATGAGTTTTCATTTGTTAATGACCTTAATTTATATGCTGACATACTAAGCTCTCTATACAATAAACAACAAGTAAACGATGTGTCGCTTTTTTTTATCCCTCAAACTGCAATATTTCAAGATATTACAGGGCTAGGAAAATAGCCCTCACACTGCTAAAAATTTAGTAGTTAATTTGTTGTCCTTATTCAGGCAATATTACAGTAGTTTTATACAGCCATCAAACAACATAGTGGGATTAAAATGACCCAAAGGAGAACATAGAAAAACAGATTGTGAAGTAGTCATGGGGTAAAACAAATGAGATGATTTGATAAGGGGAGGAAAAAAAAAAAAAAAAAGTAGCAAAAGTCATCCCCAAGAGCAATATTTTAAAGAAAAGGCATAACTTGTTCAAGCAAGCTGGAAAACAAATGGAGACAGTACACAGAAAGAATAGAGACTGTCTATTATTACCCTGTCATCTAAATATTCACAGACCTGAGTAAAACAGACGCCATGTGAACTGAAAGAGATCAAGCTAATTATTACCGTACTGAATAAAATGTAAACCTGATAGATAGAGATGATACTCTCTACTCTTTACTTTAGGAGCTACAAAACACATTTTTGTTCACCAGATTTTCAGTCATGTCATTTCAAGAGAAACCCTCTTCCCAAGCAACCTGCCTTCCTTCTTGACTGAGACTACTGCTGATATTACAGCTGTAGATATCTAAAAGATATTGCCATACCTTACAACAAAACAAAACACTCCTGATCAATTTTCTTTTTTTTATTTTTATTTTTTTTCCCTCCAAGATACAACTATTACCTATGACGGGTACAATTACTCTTGATAAAAGTAACAATTTGAGGTACCATGTTTAGTTACTAGAGGCTAACTACAGGCTGGAAACTGAAAAATGTAAGTTATGAATTTTCACTCAAATGCAATCATTTCTCTTATTTGAGTTTTTAATTCTCTTCTTATCCTTTACATTTTACAAAGCTATAATCAATTGTTATAATTTTGCATGTTATCATTCTGGGCAATGCAAAAATAGCATTGAACGTTCTGTAACATTCCTGTCTGAGTTAACACTGGCTTGAACTAATCTGCCCACAGATGTTCATGAAGTTTCAACAGAAAAATCTAACTATGTGCACTCCTCTGACATATATTAGGTAACGTTACAAACATAGTTCACATAACACAATACCGACCCTGCTCTTTTAAACTATTTCTAAACAAATAATTTATTTTCAATGTTTTAGGAATAACAGCAGCATTTGATCAAATAACATAACTTCAACTTACACAAACATCCTACCAAAAACTATTTTTCACAAAAAAAGCATTTATCATTTTACCATTGACCCATTTAATCTGAATTGCCTATTATTATTATTGTGTTGTTTTCACAATACTGGCACCAGTGCTTCTTCTATCTAGGTTAAACATCATGGAATGTGGAGGAAATATTAATGGTAGCAACAACAATGAACGTGAAATAATTTGCCATGTTTCAGAGCTGCATTATAATGCGTAATAGACTTTTTAATAACATGAAATGAGACTGATTTATAAATCTCTAGAATGACATCTGAAAAGAACTTAGGCTGGTAAAAAAACACAAATGGCAACTAATGTATCTTTTACGTTGGCTGTGGCAGTGATTTACTATGTTGTCTGCAATGCTAAATACACATCATAAATCCCTCCAACAGAAGCCTTATTATGTTCATCCATCTCTTCCCTATGAGCCAACAATTTCTTCTTTCATAAGCTTTATTGTATAAAAAGGAACTCATTAAATAAAATAAAATGCAGGCTAAAGCCAGTGATCTTACATTAACCTAATGAGAACTTTATCTAAAGAATGCATACTGGAGATACCCTGTGGTTATGTTATTGTTAAAGACTATTTATCGAGTGACAGTGGGCAAGCTCTTCATGGAAGATAAAATGATACAGAGCTCTTCATAAGACTACAATAACTGATCAGTTCTCTGCTTCTGTAAAACCTATTGTATACAGTCTATTAAATAATACAAATTGTAAAGAAAGATCTCAACAGTTTGCAAACGAGCATGACTATAAAGAGGGATCATTTATTGAGCGAGACAATATCAAGTAATTAGAAGAGAAAAGCAAATGGAAACTTAATGGACAATTAATATCAGTGTGAAAAGTCTCTCCTTTCAGTCAGTTGACAATGAATTGTTACACGCTCAGACCATTTAAGTCCACATTTGGTGCTTTAAAAGTACCCCTTCCACTGTTTAGCACATGAGCAATTACAGTAGAACACTGTGATGGGGATATGCTTTGATTCACAGAAAGCTCCCACCAGTGTGGGTAGTTAGGGTCTGGCGGCCGGAAGATGTCGTGCTGTACGGAAAGGTGGAGCCCCTCCCTTGATGGACAGTAGCGTGTGGCCTGTGATGTAAGCAAGCGGAAGTGACGCTATGGGCCTCGGGTATATAAGCCCATGTGACTCGACAATAAACGCCATTTGCCGTCCACCACGTTGGTGTCTGTGAGCTGATGGACCGAGCGGCCTGGGGTTGGCCGCCGTGCCGTTCCTGAACCAGGTCGCCACTGCCCCCTGAAGGCAACAAGTGGTGCCGAAACCCGGGAAAACTCCTGATTCGGGTGAACGGCGGCCGGAGCGGCGGGACCAGCCCGGCGGGGAGGAAGCTCCCGGACCAACAAGGAAGATGGAAACCCTTGTGAAGGTCGTATCAAAGTTGTGGAAGCTGTGGGGTGGCTCGGCTGAGGAAGCCAGGGGTGCCGGTGGGGAACCAGAGCCTGGGGAAATCTGGGAGAGACCACGGCCATGTGCGCCCCAGTACGGTGCTGAACTAGAAGACGAAGAATTGGGTGAAGAAGCCTCCGGCGGGAACGGGGATGAAGCGTTAGGTTTTACTAACAAGTGGAAATGCGAAAAAGAGAACGGTTGCGGGGACGACCGGGGAGGAGGTAGAAGCGTGAGAGAGGGGCAGAGAGCCGATCGGAACGGCCATCCGAAAACACGCTCCTGTGGCGCAAACGCCTTGCTGAGAAGGCGGCGGGGCGAGCCACGAGGCAGGGAGCGGCCCGCCCGCAGCGGTGGGGGGCGGGGCCGGAACTCGATGGGAGGGGACCGGAACTCGGAGGTGAGCAGTCAGTCAAGCTCTGACTCCGGATCAGATACCGATTCAAATTCGGAGGAGGAAATGGGGACAGATGGCAAAAATATCCCCATCCGAAATAAAGCTGCACCGCGAGGCAGAGAAATTCCTCTCACAGATTGGAGGAAAATTAAGATTGCGTGCACCATCTTGGCTCTATCGGCCATGCTAGCGTTCCTGGTCTGGGTGGCAGACGGGGGGCAGAGGGTTCACTCACCAACAAACCCTAAGGATGTACAAGCGATTGTTAAAGCTATTGTGGATAAAGGGCTTCATTCTGCAATGGTCTCCACCCTCATAGATGGTGTTTTCAGGGGAGGCGACATGCTCCCGTTTGATATCAAACAAACTTGTAGACTGATCTTTGACGGGGGTGGGATGATCATTTTTAAAACGAGAATGGGGGGACAACTGTATGAGACAACTGGCCCAAGTAACTGGGACGGATCACACACTGTATGGCTCTAGCCTGCAGCGGGGAATGGGTACGGACCCAACAGTGATCACCCCCCAGGCGCAAGTCCAGGGCCTGAGGGCCCATGAAGGTATGGCAACTCGTGCGGCCTGAGAAGCTCCAAACAGCCAACGCCCCAACTTCAGAACAAAACTAATGAAAACTGAGTTTCTGTTCACAGGAACGGATCATCGGGCACCCCTGTAATCTGTATACCCCGGCGATATGAGAAGACAATAAGTCAGCAAGCGTCCTGTTTAAGCCTGAGAGTTCCACACTGGCAGAATCCAGACACCAGCGAAGCGGCCTCCGTGGGTGGGGGGCTGCAATGCGTTTGTGTGATCTTATCTTTGGACCTTGTATACTAAATATGCTTGTGTTGTTTGTTAAAAGTTGGTTAGAGAAAGTTAACATTATGTTGGTAGAACACCAACAACTACTTTAAGAGTGTATTTACTCAGGGTTACCAGTTACCTCTTAGTTTTCTCCTGGTTATTGTGCCTTTTGTTTTTTAGTTAAGTTATGATGTCTACATCTTAAGATTGTTATATTTTAGCTAATTTGGTTGTGCATAGGGAGGGGGGAGATGTGGGTAGTTAGGGTCTGGCGGCCGGAAGATGTCGTGCTGTACGGAAAGGTGGAGCCCCTCCCTTGATGGACAGTAGCGTGTGGCCTGTGATGTAAGCAAGCGGAAGTGACGCTATGGGCCTCGGGTATATAAGCCCATGTGACTCGACAATAAACGCCATTTGCCGTCCACCACGTTGGTGTCTGTGAGCTGATGGACCGAGCGGCCTGGGGTTGGCCGCCGTGCCGTTCCTGAACCAGGTCGCCACTGCCCCCTGAAGGCAACACACCAGTTATTGTCCTTTGAAGACAATGTCATCAGCCTTTGGAAGAATGACTCCAAAATTAATCTCTCATAATTTTTTCTATGAAAACAAGCAGTTCAGCACCAGAAACAAAAACCAAATTTCTTTTTTTCGCATCAATTCCCATGTCACTAATCTGAGCATCTCTTTCCCTTCAGCTTGTTGAGAGGTGTTTTTTGTTGTTGTTTTTTTTTGGGGGGGGTTGTCTTTTTTTTTTTTTTTTGGTTGGTTGGTTGCTGGTGGTGTTTCCTTTTTTTTTTTTAGCCTTGCAGATAGAGGCAGAGGTTGTTCCTCCAACTCCTACCTTGGGTATTTTGGTGTGTTATATTAATAAAACAGTTCTTAGTCTGTCCTGCAGCATGCACAATCACTTCTTGCATGCAATCTCATTCCTCAGGTGGAAGTTAGCTAGGACTTACTAAGATTAAACGAGAGAGCAGCTCTCTTGCACAGATGACAATAGTGCGAAGAACATAATTTGGAAACAAACTTGGCAGAGGAAAATTGAACAGAAAATTAAGTCTGAAGTGTAGTTTAATGAATTCAGCGTTAGTTATCAAACAAAACACAGAACAATTTAACCTTATATGATCATCCACAAGTAAGAAGATGAGAACAGAAGTAGAGGGGAAAATTTACAACAGATGAAAAGACATTTTACCTATTTTCCAACCTGAAGGCACAGTGCAAGTTATCAAGAAGTGATAAAAAGCAGACATCTGAAGTAAGGCCATCTGCCTCCACGGTCTTATACAAGACACAAAAATGGATGAAGCCTTGAAACCAGGTGATCATCCGGTGATGCAGTTTTGAAAGGTCACTCACTGGGGAAGATGGGAGGAGAAGGCATTAGCCTTACCGATACCAAGCAGATGTTTGGGCAAAGGGATGTTATAGGGAAATGAACATTAATCACTTTATATGTGATTTATCATCTAGAACAGGAAGAGAGACAAGTGAATCATGACACAGCTGAGAGATTGGCTTGCCCCTAAGTAGACTGGAATTTCTGATAGGCAATTAAAGAAAAAGACAAGTTAGCCACCTTCTGCTTTATACGTATTTCGGATATTTGGATCCTATGTTCTTGGTTGAAATCTGTACTACCTACTTGTTTTCTCCATTGAATTCCTTAGGCTGCTGAGGTAGCTGGCAGCGATAGGAAACACAATTCCTCCACTGCTAATGCATCTGCTTTTGGTGATTTTCCAAAAGAACACTGCACAGCTGCCTTTGTCTGCTTGGCAAGGTTGACTTTTTCAGGAATTTTGAATCAGAACCAGATGACCAGGAATGTATGTGTGGCATTTAAATCTCATCACTTACTTAAAAAAAAAAAAAAAAAAAAAAAAAAAAAGAGGTCTACATGTATCCTTTAAAAATTGATTTTTTTTTTTTTTTTTTGCTTTTATTTTAGATCTGTTTCAGAAGGATAAATGACATACTTCACTGAAGGAGAGGTTTCAAGTTTACTTTTAACTACATGCAGCCGGGAGTTACTGGAAAGGAGGTTTGATGGCTATACTGCAGAATAATTTTGATTTGTTAATGCAGAGTTGTTAATTGAAAAGAAAACTAACGATGTTTTCAGCAGTGACAGCAAAGCAATTGCTTCATTCCTTAAAAATAGCTTCCTACTACATTCCTACACGAAAACAAAATCCAATCTTAGTGTTTTATGTATCAGTATTTAACTTAGGGTGTTTGGGATCTTTTTTGTTATTATTATTTTCTTAATAACCTCAGAAAGATGGTAATTTCTGACTTTTTCCTAAAAAGGATAAAGACATCTAATCACTGCAGCTCTTAAGGTTAGGAGCATATTATAGGACATTTCCTTTTCTTAAAAACGGGTCTACATTTCTTTAAGTGCTTATCCTGCCTGTGTCAGACAACCTGTGGCTGTCACACAATGCCTCTGTGTGAGGGTCATGACAGCTCACTTAATTTTCTGGAGCAAAGCTCCAGTCAGGAACTTATTCTAAAAGTCTTTTTTTTTTTAATAATAATAAAAATAAATAAATAAATAAATCTATTAAATTGTGCATGTTTTCCAGTGGAAGTGAGGAAAAAAAATAATTTTTTCTTGCACAAAGAACATCATACCAAAATTTTTCATGTATTCCATCTTTCTGCTCATTCTTTTACCTTCCCACTTCTGCAACAAAGGAAATGTCCTGATAATTCCGAAGGGTTTTAAGCCATGCTCTTACTTTAGTTTTCTATATAACTTCTTTCTGTATGTTGCTTGTTATTTCTCTCTGCTTTGCATGCCCTGAATCGTAAAGTCTAAAGACTGATACTAAATATCAAAAGTATGCATTTACCAATAGCATGTAGTATTAAAACAAAATGATTGTAGCTTTGCCTTGTCTCTGAAGCAATGGAAGAACTACAGCACTTAGTAGATCCTGAGTTTCTATGTATGGCATAAACACGTACTCAAATTCTATGTGTATAACTGGAATTTTTAATATCCATGATTGATTCTAAATCATGAAAGCAAAACAATGCATGTTGACAACACGTCACTCACTATCATTCTGTCTCATATTTTCCTTATAAATCTGTCTATATTATACAGCAATGCATGGGAAGTCTTGGTAATATTCTTCCCTTAAGCCCCAACGCTTATATAACACATCTCAGACTTTTTTTTTTTAATTTAGAAAGATTTAATTCTGTTAGCATTGCTAGAAAATTACCATTAAAAGGGATATAAGAGGTTTCAAGTACCACAATATCCAACTTTCAGTTGCTGTTCAATCTGACCTTCCCACTATTCCACCAAAAATATATATATATATCAAGAACTCCTGAAAATCTTTAGCTTTATTATAGACATGTTACAATTCTATTTGATAAATACTTTACCTGTGTGTCTGTCACACACAGAGGTGTCTTTGCTATATTCCTCAGAATTTACAAAACAAAGCTAAAATCATAACACAGTTATGCATTCTGCTGTGCCACAGATTACGAACACTCTCAAAAGAGAGGCGGGGTGCAAAATTGCTACATAAAATTTCAGTTCAAGGCACCATGCCCCCAAAGGACTTAATAAGAACAGCAAACTTTATTGCACTTAAATGATTTTTTAAAAGGAGGAAATAAAACACCTCATCTCCCCAAACAAGAAAGCTAAGATTGGGAATAGAAAGTGGAGTGATTCACTTACATAAATTTAAAAAAAAATAAAATAAAATAAAAAAGTGAAGTCCAAGCATGTAGGTAATAAATAAACTGAACAGAAATCAAGACAACAACATTGTTCTAAGTGTGTGCTTGCTGACTGTCATTTGTCTCTCAAATAACCTCTTTCCTTGACTGCCTTCACTTATCGCAACTTGTTCTCCATCAATAAGAGACAATGATTGCTGGGACGGGGATTCTCTCTGTTTTATCATTTCCAAAATTCTGGACACAGCAAACTCCTAATTCCTGACCCATAGGTGCTATTGCAATAAACATGAGCAGTAAGAGAAGAGCCAGCAATCTAACATACAATAAAAGCTGCAAAGCCCAAAGTGCACATTTTAAAAGTATGTATGATTATCTTTGCCATTAAGATACGCTTGTTCTCTAATATCCAGAATACTATTTCATGAAAGTCTAAGAGTACTTCTGTTTCCAGATATCACATGGGTTTTCTTGAACACTAGCACAAATAAATTCTTCAAGTATCACATTAGAAGTTTTCTCACAACTGCTTTTATGTTGGTTTACCACATAATCAGGATAGGATTAACCTTACCTAACCTTAGGCATGTACGGCACAGTTCAGTTGCCTGCATCTGAACCTCAGCTGCTCTGTTAGTGAAAGATAGACGCTTCCAGAAGCCAATTAGTCTCATTCTAATGTAGATATCTCAGATATCAGTGTGTCCTAAAAATGCCTCTCTCCCTCCATTTGCTTGAAGAACAACAAAGTATAAAGAGCCCAAGCATACATGTCTATGTCATTACATCTATGTTCATTAAAACGAATCCTTATCCAGAGAGGCTAACATTGTTCAAGGATTTACTAGCTGTTTAGAGATCATTTGTAAACAGTAAAAAGGGATCATCACAGCACAACTGTGTTATCTAAGCAGGAAAAACACCATGTATTCCTATAGGTCCACTGAGAAAGAAACTACAAATAGTGACCTTCTGCAATGACCTCCACGTGAAATACATGTATTTGTTTACTTAAATGCATTATCAAAGAGCTGCAGCTAACCAACTGGTAAATTTTTCACAAATGGGAAAGGAGCAGGATTATTTGCTCAAATATAGAGTTCATGAGAAGGTGTAAAAGCACTTTTATGAATCTGCTTTTCACAACTTTCCTGTGAAAAGTAGATTATGACAGTTTTACAGATGGGTACATTTAAGTATAGAAATATGAAGTGTAAAGCCTAGCTAACAGGGCAAGTTATCAGCAAAGCTAGGTAAGTACCAATTTTCCTTTCTGTCCTGTTCTCTGAATGCTATGTGATGACTTTCTGGAAAGGATATTTAACAGAATCTCTCTTAAAAAACTAAACAGACAGAAAGGTTAAAATAATACTATAAAAAAAAAAAAAAAAAAAAAAAAAAAAAGCAGCCAGCATTTCCCCTCTCCAAGTTTTAATTAAATGTACATTCATTAATATTAAAAAATGAACTTATAAGCACTTCACCAAATTCAAACGCTTTGAATATTCTCTCAAACTGATTCTCAAAGCATGAGGTAACTAATTCACTGATCTTAACTCTTCAACGAATGTGCTAAACTTTGTAAGTCCTACCTTGTGCTGCAGAAGCTCTTCCACTCAAGTAGCAAATATAATCAGTCTTCCTTCATGTTTGAATTGTATCATCAAAGGAAGTGTCGCCTGCTTGATTTGAGTTCATAAAGTTAGTCTTCAAAGCTCACTGATTTTTGCCCCCTTCTCACCCTCTCATATTTTCTCTTTCTGTTGATAGTACTTTTGGATCAGGGCATTTGAATAGTTTGTGCTGAAAAGCCTCACTAGTCAAACTAAAGGATGCTGGATTCTTCATGGCAAATACATATTTATGAAATACAATTTAAAATAACAACAGTAAACTTTTTTATATCACTGTCCATGTCTGACAAAACATAACCTGCGTATGCTATTACATAGCACATCTAGTTACTGCCTGGTTATTTTATATTTTACCTGTGCTGAGGAGAGAGGAAGAAAGGATGGACTGGAAAACTGCATACAAAACATGTTGATCATGTTGTCATTCACTGTATCAAAGAAAGGTGCTCAGAAATCCATGCTGCAGGCATACAATAAAAATCCTGCACAAAACAGCAGATGTTCTATTTTTAGTAAACCCTAAACCTCATGTAAACATGCATACTGTACATACACATATACTATACAGTGTACGTCACCAGACCTGCATAAAACTTGGCCTTCTAACTGCTATGAGTCGTGAACCGAACAATTTAGTTGATTTCATAATTAGTATATCTCTTAAAGAAACAGTTTCCTGCATCTAATTTGTCAGAGCAATAACCTCTTAGAGATGTCTTGCATCACAGTTACTCTGTCAGATGAACTTCTCACAACACGAATCTTATTTAGAGTATACTTACTTGAAGCTTTATTTAAAGTTTCTTCTTCTGACAGACTATCAGTGGAAGTAACTGGCATAACCATAGTTAAACTAAAAATGCTATCTCCCAAAGAGCAATGCCTCAGTCAATATTTACAAGTAAGCTAGTAAAGGTCTCAGAAAAAGCCTATAGTACTGCAATACTGATGGGAGGAAATATGTAACTGGCTCCCTTGAAAGCCTTATCAGATATTAGTTCACATAAAATTGTCCAGTTAGGAGAAAAGTAAGAAAAAGAATAATTTTCCCTAAGGTTTTTGGTTGAGATTTTTGTCCAGTTAAATATCACCAATATAAAACACCACTGGCAATTATTACTGAGGTAACCCAGGATATCTTTTTTTGAAAGCACATTCCAGTTTACAAAACAAAGTTCCAGGACTGCTATTCCAACCCTCCTCCCCCTCCACCACCAAGGACTCTCCACTTTTTCAGCAATAAGGAAAAATTATTGTATAGCATCCACAATAAAAATAACCTGCATGGATGACAATACATAAGCAGGAGAAAGACAAGCAAAATACATGGCAAAACACAGATGAATTTCACTCCATGTGCACACCTTGAGTACTTCAGATTTTCTGTGCATGTGTGAAATGAAGATAAAATAAAGCCATCTAAAATTTTATTTTACTTTTTGCATGTGCAGGGAGGTAGTCAAGGTATTTGAATCAGTCATTTAAATTACTCAATCATTTACAGCCATTGAAATTTATCTGCACTGAAAGGTGCTCACAAATACTAAGACCCAGTCTCCTTTCCCCTGCACTTTATGTAGTCATTTCTATAACTGTCAGGACAAAGAACACGAGTTAACTTGGTATCAAGGCAAAAAGCCAGGTTTCCAGGGACATGCAAGGGCAGCTTTAGCAAAAGCAGTGCACTCAAAAATTGAAAGTTTCAAGATTGTGATAGTACGGCATTGTCTAATTAAAAATTGAGGAATTTTACCAAGTTCTGCTGACACGTGATAGAAAACTTTCAGAATGGCCATTATACTGGTGTGGTTTTAAATATCCTTGTTCTAAATATATTGTCTAGGAATGAAGAAATAAATAAATCCTCAAAAACAACTTCGGGGGGGGGGGGGGAGGGGAGGGATAAGGGAGGAATATTATTCTATTTCCATGGTTTACTGATTCAATTAATGTTACTTTTTTATGCTTTTCGCATCATATATGTAGCCACCTAATGCATAACTAGGCTGAACTTCACAATCATGTCACTGAACAGCTTAAAGATAAAAATTTAATTTCTACTTGAAAATACAGGTTTTGAATGCATGTTCAAATTGCATACTTACAATTGTATACTTACTTAACAACATTAGCTATATGAATAATAAAGAGAACTGATTATTTTAAGTAGAACATCAATTTCAGTTTTCAGAAACACTGGTTATCAGTGTTTCTGATACAATGCACTGCTGTTTCTAAGATTTTATGATCAGGTCATCAACATGGTAAATAGACTTAGGAAAGTAGGAAAGCTTCTGAAGTATTTATATTTGAGGAAAAACAATGTGACAGAAACATGTACACCTCTCTGTGTATGGGCAATACATCCTTTCTACATGATAGTGCATGGGCAGCTGCCTCCACATGAGTTTTCAAAATTACTTCTGTTACTATTTCAGCTGACATTAAATGTCTTTGTTTTTTAGGTCATCCATCTATATGTATCACCATGGAACATGCTTCAAGAGTAAGGACAACAGAAGTCTGGGGTTTGTCATGCCCACTTACAAGTTATTGATGTCAGCCTTCTTTGCACGTTCCTCTTCATCATACAGGTCAGCTAAAAACAACAAAAATACTTCACAATTTGTGCAGCATCCAAAGAGATGTTGCTTTTTTAAAATGAAGTTAAGCCCTATGACCTGGGTGCCAGGGATCCCAAAAGCCAGATGATTTTCATTTTTAGAGTATCAGCTCACATTAACAGTAGTTATAGGAAATTTCTAAGATTTATACCAGAATACCTATAGTTAAAATACTCCCCCCCATTACCCATTGCAGTTTGGGGACTGTAGCAGTGAAATTATCCAATAAACAGGAAGGAATTTGCCAGCCAAACTGCATTCCAGACTAATTACAACCACCTGGTACATAGGAACTTTGCACATGTGCTAAGAGAGGTGAAACGAATGTGCTGTCTTTTTGAATGCAATCAGCAATAATGTAATTTTACTTGCTGCTGTGCTGTACTAATATATTGGCAAAAGCATAATATTTCAATAGGAAACTAATGCTGCTTATATGAGATAAAAATCCTTGAGAAAGACAATGTAATACACTAAATTAATGCCAGTATACCAAAGATTTTATATCAAAAAAGGGAAAAAAAAAAAAAAAAAAGAAAAAGAAAACTGCAAAATAGGAACATAAAAGAAGAAATAAAAATTTTCCTGTCCCCAAAGCCTACAAGTTCAGCTTGCCTAAATCGGGTAGGAAGTCTTTTTTTATCAATATTTATTCAATGATTCAATTTATCTAATGATGAAGGCCAAGCTTTTTCACTAGTGCTCAGGATGTCAGTTCCAACATTTACCCACAACATTATCCCTCCCCAAAGCTGTTAAATGGCATGCAGACATCTGTGTTGTCACACAGGTACGGGAATCTTGGCAGATTTTCACAGTAATTTTTTTCAGAACAATTAGAAACTAAAAACGTAATTTGGAGAAAGTTACATGAGCATTGCAACTTTTTTTTTTTTTTGGTCAAGCAATCTTAGTGTATTTTGAACTATCCTACAAAACAGGTTATTGTTACTTCAAAGCAGAAACTGGAAGTATGTTAAACAAACCAGACATAATTTGGGTTCAGTGAACAGGTTGTACACATCAGAGTTTGTCAGCTGTTGGTTAGTCAAGTTTATACCAAACAAATCCTTCTAAGTTTGCAAGGTAATGCTCCTGTCACTCACTCAGCGGGTTCTTTCTCTGCTCGACTGAAACTAGGCTTGCAGTGATAAGTGACCCTGAAAACACCTCACTAAATGATGCTACCAAGTACCATGTGAAGCTAAGGCATTTTAAGAAACCCTGCAGCACTGAATTAAGCAACATATCTAGGACTGCAAAACTTGTTTTCATTGTGATGTTCTGTAGGATAATAGAGATTTCACAACACAGGAAACAAACAGTTGCATGAAGACAGTACACATGAAGAATATATATCCATGACCATTATGCCTTTATATCCTTTTTTTTTTCCTCTTTTTACTGTAACCTGTTAGTTATGAAGGTTTCATTACACTCAATGAGAGTCACAGCAGTAAACTGATACACATTTTAATCCTCATATTTTAAGAAGTTTGAAAAGCAAAGCATTAAAAAAAAAAATAAATAATGTCCAACTAAGGCTACTTGTTCATCAAACCCACAGTTCTGATAGCAGAAACAGAAGAATCTGTTTAGGAATACTGCACCATCTCAGCCACCTTCTGTGGCACATTTCCCTCATACTTCCCCAGTATCCACAGGTGTTGTATCAGGGATGTTAAAGGGTTTGTTTCCACCTGTTCCCCCTTAGTATCTGTTGTCCATTAATTTGTAAAATCCCTTTCTGAAGCTGGAGATTCATCTTCTACTTTAAAGTTTATTGACATTGATGCTGCAACATCACAAATAGTAATATGAAAATCTGAAAGTAATCTTTTCAAAGCGGTATTTTATTCTGTAACTGAAGATCAAGACGTGTTTTAATGAATGCTTTGATGGATAGTGAGAAAGGAGGTATTCCTTTACCCATGTATTTAGAAAGTTAAAGTTAGAAAGACAGTGTGGGGTCTTTTCTTAAGCATTCATAAGCTCATAATATTTTAGGGAATACAGTTTAAAAAGTAAGTGGCCATTTCATTTGAGGTGCTTCTCTTTTAATTGATTGTGTGTTTTTTTTTTTTGTTTGTTTTGTTTTGTTTTTTTGTTTTTTTTTTTCAGAATAACTTTCATAAATTCATTCACACAGATTTTATTGCAGTCATTTTGTATCAAATATGGGTAAGTATATGCTTTGATTTTTAATGAGCAGAAAGTTGTTAGCCATTTTTCATAGAGGGCTGTGACTAATTTTATTTTATAACCTTGGCTAATAGATAATTAGGTGTTTCACTCATATTAGCTCTGACACAGCTGGAGGCAAAGTGGGAGGAAGCAAAAAGATGGCTTTTGCCATAAATTTTGTACTAGCAGCTTCTGAACACCTCTGTAATGCAGCTGATAGGAAATGCTATATTGGATATGCATAACCTGTGTTTGCATTTTGTTAACAGTATTCTCAGTTTTTAAGTGAAGAGAAGCTTAATAGAAAAAGATATGCAGAGGAGGAAGAGGATCTCCCATAGAGATCATTAAGTGGATCACTGAAGCTCTACAGGTTTCAAAGGAAATTTCCTGGATCAGGTACTTCTTTAGGCTTCACAAAGTGCAGTGTCATCCATTAGCATTACTTCACTGTAATCCCGTCAGTGTAACTTGTGACTTGTCTCAGTCCAGCTCCCTCCAATTTAAGATCAACAGAAGTATTCACACTTAATATACTAGCACAGCATTCCCTCTGTCCTGGTTTCAGTTAGAACAGAGTTAATTTTCTTTCTAGTAGCTGGTAGAATGCTATGTTTTGGCTTAGGATGAGAAGAGTGCTGGTAACACCCCGATGTTTTAATTGTTGCAGAGCA